CTTCCTTCCTTCCTTCCTTCCTTCCTTCCTTCCTTCCTTCCTTCCTTCCTTCCTTCCTTCCTTCCTTCCTTCCTCTGTTGCTCAACATAAAAGAGTTTATAACTGGTGGGTAAATGGAAAAACATGGTGAATTTTGGAACTAATCTGTTCAGAGCCATATCCCTACACAGTATGAGTTCTTATGAGCCCAGTCAAATGCCTGAAGAAGGTTCACATATAATGTGCTTCTTATTTACACAGATATAATTTTAAATAATTGATGCATTCATATCAAACTTACATTCACAAGTTATAAGGTTAGTCCTCTGTTGAACATAGATTTCGGTATTTGTTCTACAATAACAGTATTATTTTCAGAAGTAAGAAAACTGGGCTTAGCCTTTCTTTTTCTAGTTCCTTCTAATTGGCTGAACATATTTACTGAAATTAAAAATCACAGCTGGTCAGAGTTACAGTTATGCAGGATAATGTGGCAATATTAAAGGATAGCAGATTTTTCAGTGTATTACTCTTAGCACTTGAAATAGTAGTTTATTACAGTAGAAGTTACTTTTTAACATATCCTGGGCAATCTTTGCAAGTAGAAACAAAGGAGATATTTCAGAATTGAATTTACAGATTGCTTTAATACTACATTCAACAGTGATGAGTGTAGATCAGCAGAAAGCCTTCAATACTCAGGGTGGAAAGGTGCTATAGTTGTTCAAATCTGTACCTATCAAAATAATTTCTGGAGCTTTTTTTTCATACTTTTCTAACTGCATTGTGTTAATAAGGTAGCCAGCAAGTCTAAGGAAGAAGGTTAAAGCTAGAAAGTAGGAAAGTACACTCTAGCTACAGATTTCTATTCCAGCTACCTAATTAATTAGACTGTACTGGGCAACCATTTTGTCTTACAGGTAAACTAATAGGAGAAGCTAAAGAACAAACTTCTTATGTTTTCTTTCTTACATAAACAGTAATATTACAGCCTATGCTCCCATTCACAAGAAAAAGCTTCCCTGAACTTCCCTGAACTAATTTCTGAGCAGTTACATATAGGATTGTGCTATAAATTCTTATTCTGACACCTGTAACTTTCTAGGTTATAGAATGTTTTCTGAAACTTATAAACATATAAATTAAAAACCATATTCAAGGACAAAGTGTATATTTTAACCTATAATGGCAAAACATTTAATCTGCATGAGAGCAATCATCACTGAAAAACATGCTTATAGGCTTGGGCCCTCTACATGTCTATAATGGCACTGCAAGACAGTGTTTGTATATATGTGTGTGTGTGTGTAGTGTGTGTGTGTGTGTGTGTGTGCGTGTGTGTGTGGATAGATAGATAGATAGATAGATAGATAGATAGATAGATAGATAGATAGATAGATATTTTCCTTCCTTTCTTGAAAACAAACATCCCAGCATTTCATATTCCTTTCTCATAAGCAAATTAAGGGGTACTTCAACATTGCTGTTTTAATGTTTCATCTGGAAAGGTATAGAAACTTGGAAATAAGCCTGTTTTCAGGATTAAATAAGAATCCGTTTTAACACTGCATATATATCATACAGAAAGGAGAAAACTGCTATAGGAGGAGGAGCTAATATGCTTTTTTTTTTCCAAGCTGAAACTTCAGTATTAACATAACTCAAGGATTTATCGTCAAAACTTTTCTTCACTGAATTAAGCAGCTGTTAATCTTACTTCCTGCTGTTTCAGAATTGCTGACAACCTTGAAACTATTATTTTAGCAGATGTTTGATACTAGCAGCATATTTCAACTTTAATACAGAGCATTAAAGTAAAACAAAACAAAAAACAGCAAAAAAACAAACAAACCCTCATGTTGCTTTGGAACATATTGCAACTATTTTTTCCCATTCTTTCCAATGAAAACATTTTTTAATGAATTATGCAGAGGGGAATATATAAATGGTTTTAGTATCGTGTGTATGGGGGGAAATTATCAAATAATCTACAATGTGATGCAATACTGGTTGGGAAGTTAATTTGCTTTTCTGTTCAATTTAGTTATCTGCCTCCCACCAGCTATAAAATCTTCACCCTTGGGAAAACATTAAAATCATATAAAAAATACTCCAGCTTTTGTTATGTGCAGAAAGAAGTCTGGAAACTCAAAGAAATTAGCTTTTTGGGGGATCAAAGCTCTGAATGAAAAACTGCTTGTGAGATGTAAAAGCATGAGATGTTCCAGCTGCCTCTGTTTCCAGTTCTCCTCAGTTACCTTACTAACTCTGTTACAGAATTGGGACTTCATATCTGCATCATCTTCTAGCCTGAAGGAAGGCCTGACACTGACCAATCAATATTGTAGAGCCAACAAGTCAGAACTTTAAATCTTTAGGGCTGACCTTGAGAACTGTAGGGTAAGCCCTTAATAAAACTGAGTTGTGTGAGTTGTGTATTGAAATATGTTTATTTACTGTACAGAAATAACAATCAGTATGTT